GGACGGACAAGTGACAAACATATCGGACATATTCGGAAAACTAGTTGAAAGTTACAAATTTCTTAAATAAGTTAAAGTTCAAAGTTATTTGCATTATCAATATCCAAATTGCAAAACATGTCATCAAAATTGACAGGGCATAGGTGCTTCATACATCATTCATAATTAAAGTGCAAGATGAACATAAACGTGATTGCATGTAGCGGGTAGCCCTGAGTCAAATAAGGTACATACCTACATGTACTGTGCCAACTTTTAACTCTTTTGAAAATTTCAGTAGCAATAGCCAATAGGTGACATTGTTGTCAGCAAGCCCATCATTAGATAACACAGTTATCAATATGATGTACAATTGACCTGTGGGAAGCACCAGACACCAAAGCAGTAAAGTAGGGAATCCAAAAATAGTTTTTCCCCACTGGAAAGTTAACAGAAAAGAGACTGAAGAAAATTGCAAATATCAAGGTGTGCCAAGTAGCACAAGAGTCTTACCTAGAACCTCCTATCATAAAGTCATCCCCTTCTACCCTTTCCCCCAATAAATATCCGTGCCGAAATATAGAATACAATGCTACATAAAATATTAAAATATGCCGATAGCCTATCTCTGAGCCTATCAATAAACTGAAAACCAAAAAGTGATGAAATGCGGCGAAAGCGTCATAAATGAATGTCACCTATGGAAAGATGGCGTCCCGATGAGAATCGGAGGAGACAAAAAATGACGTCTAATACAATAAATACAGTTATTTTGCTTTACAATTGAATTATTTTCGAAAGAAATATGATATTTTGTAATACATGTTGAATCTAAACCAAACAATTAACGGTAAATGCACTTCAATAGGACAAATTATATGATAATGACGTCATATTATTGATTTACCTTCACATCATCGACTCAAAGCCGGATACCATGTTCCATTGTTCCATGCTACCGAGAATGGTAGCATGAAATGTGTTTTTCATTCTACCAAGGATTTATACAACTTCTTTTTGCTTGTGAATTTCAGTGAACTTGTATTAAATCATAGCAGGTATTTTTATTTTTTGTGCTCGGTTATTCTTTTTTATATTCAGATATGTGTGGCTGAGTGAAGAGCACGTTTCTTCCAGATGTACCTATCTCACATGTTTCTCTCACATGAACTATTTTGCTTTTGCAAGAAGTGTTCTACTTTACATCTCAGCCAGTGTGATATAAGATGAAGATATCCATCATTATTGTAAGTGAATAGCTGCTTGCATTATTGCTGTATTAATTCATCATCAAGTGGCTTAGTGTAAGGCCTAAGGGATGTGGCAAGAAGTCAATATTTGAGAACGCAAGTTGGAGGGATAAGGCAATGTTTTGCATTATTCCTGCTTACTCGGCTTTGACTTCAGCTGTAGGCTGTAGCACATTTTGAAGCAGAATAAAGCAGAGTCTCAATATGCTGTGCTTGTGTTATATATCAGATTAGGCCTATTGCCCTAATGCCCATTCCCTACTGCATATGATATTGCTTCAACATTTTTAGTTTGCAATATTTTGCAGTCAAAACCAGATGGCGGATCTGGTATTTCGTTATCATGTGGTACATACAAACATATACCTAATATATAGATCAATTCCCCCATCCTCTCTTTCCATATCCAGTTTTCGGACAGTTTTCGGACAAATCCATGCCTTGGACATTTTTCGGACAAAAGTGAGCTAGGATTTTGGACATTGGACGGACATCGGACAAGAAATTTCTGAAATTGACACCTCTAATGTGTAATAGGACTGGACAGCGAGCAAGGTGTCTTCCTGTTGTTTTTTAAGGACAGGTAAGTCAGTGGGAAGAGCGGAATCGAGGAGTTGGGTATCGTCTGCATAGGAAATGAGCCGTCCATGAGGAAGGTAGGAAGGTAGGTCATTTGTGAAGATGCTGAAGAGGATTGGGCCGACCAGGGAGCCCTGCGGAACGCCATGGGACATAGGAAGGGATAGGGAGCCGCCTCTCACCACCTGCCGCCGGCCACCGAGGTAACTCGCGAACCACCCGGGGTCAACACCGTACCAGCTCAACTTGGACAATAAAATACCATGGTCAACACTATCAAAGGCGCGACTGAGGTCCACCGACGTGATGGCAACAATGTGACCCTTGTCGACGCGGCGCGTCACCCACTCAACAGCGTCGGTGAGAGCATCCTCCGTTGAGTGATATCGGCGGTACGCATACTGAGATGGTGATAAAATAGAGGACGTATCAAGATAAGAAGCGAGCTGATTGCAAACCACCTTTTCACATACTTTCGATAACACTGGTAAAATTGATATAGGTCTAAAATTAACAGCGCTGTCACGGGAACCAGACTTATGAAGCGGCACGACAGAAGCAAGCTTCCAAGATGAGGGAAACGTACGTAAAGAAAATGAGGCATTGACTAGATGGAGAATGTGGGGTCCAATCACAGGAAAACACTGGCGAATAGCAAACAGTGGTACACCGTCATGTCCCACCGCACGGGAGGACGACAACTGCCGCAGGGCCACAGACAACTCCGGGAGTGTCGCCGGCCGCAGACACATGCTGGCCGTGGTGACACAGGGCGGCCTCGGCGGGAGTGGCGGGGGGTTGCCGGCTGCCAGTTCAGCGGCAATACGCGGACCGACTGTCGCGAAGTGCCGGTTGAACTCATCCGCCCGGGCCGGCGATAGGCCCTCGCGGGAGTTACTACCCCCGCCCCTCCCCGGACGTAAGGCGAACTCGCGCACGTTTCGCCAGAAACCACGGCGGTCCGACAGCATACCGTCACACAGAAAAGCACGCTTACATTCCGCCAGGCACGATTTCACTCGGTTTCTGAGTCGCCGGTAGCTGTTTCTGTCGCTGTCAGCGCCGGAGTGCCGCCACACTCGGTAGGCCTCGTCTCTCTCCTGTAGCAGGCGCTGCAGCTCCGGGCTGTCGTCGAGCCACGGACAGCGCGGACGGCGAGGGGTCACTTTTCTCAGCGGGCAGTGGCTGTCTATCACGCCCCACCAAAGACGCATAAACTCACCGACCTTATTGTCCAGGTCAGCGGCACTGTATACCGCGCTCCAGTCCGCCCGCAGAAAATCAAGGCACACGGCGTCCCAGTTCACCTTACGCCAGGAGCGCGCGGTAAACGGGGCGGGCCGGCGGCTCTCCCGACGGAACGGCACACGCACAGTCACAGTGAGGTGGTCGGCCACGGCGTCAGCCGGCGGCAAGACGTCAGCGTCCAGATCGGGCACGTTAGTGATGACGTGGTCTATGAGACTCTCGGACGGCTCCAGGTGAGTAGGGACTCGCACCAGCTGAAACAGACCCAGCTCGTGCAGCGCCGCACGGTACTGGCGCACACCTGGGCCGTCCGGACGCAGTAGATTGATGTTGGTGTCTCCCAAGCAGAAAGTGGGTCTCCCGTATCCCAGGGCCGCTCTCAGCTGATCGTGTAAATCGCCGATCGCGCTGGCCACCGGCACCGACGGGGCTCGGTACACCGCGCCGACCGTGACAGAACGGTGACCTCCGCCGCCAATGCAGAGCCACAGTGACTCGCAGGAGCCGGCGGCAGGTATCGGTAGAATAGTAGCTGTCAGTGTATCCCGGTAGATGATGGCCACACCACCGCCGCGGACAGCCGCGCGGCGCCCACCGGCATGACCGGCCGGGCGGTCCCCGCGCATGATACGGTAGCCTGGGAACACCAGGATCCTGTCTTGTGTCGGATCTGTGAGCCAGGACTCACTGATACAAAGAATGTCAAAGCCCTGTTCCTGCAACATCCTGTTCACCTCGTCCATCTTGGGAATAAGAGAGCGGGCATTGATGTGTCCAATGTGGAGAGTGGAGCTGTCAGCGCGCCGCGGCCGGTCCCGCCCCCACTGCGCGGTCTGCCTCGGAGTGAGCCGGGCAGGCGTCACCAGGTCAAGTCCCCGGGTCGGCCCCAGCACGGAGCGGCTCCGCGGGTCGGTGCCGTCCTCAGATGCCGGAGCCATCCGACCGCGCTGACGGGACAGGCAGCGGCCCGCTCGGTGTCGCCGATCCTGGACCCGCAACCCAGCACGAGCACCGCGTCGATGGCGCCGAGGCATCACCGGTCGGCCGCCAGCGCTGGCCGGCGCGCGGCCACAGACAGCCGCCCCCTCCGACCAGGGCCTGGCATCGCCCCTGCTCGGGCGAGCCGGCCGCAGCGGCGGCGGCTGTCCTTGACATGTCAGCAGATCTGGTAGAGTACGGTGGATGGTGACGAGCGGCCCTGATTGGCCCATCGCAGGGTTCCACCTCTTCTCAAACCGGTAGAAAGCGGCGCCACCGAGCGCAGCATCCCCGGCAGAGCGCTAACTGACATCGGGTGACGACAAAAACGACACAGTTTTAAGCAACAGCGACGCTGGTCTCGCTCCAAAAAGTCACTCACTCGGTAGCACGTGTCCCAAACTCGGGCTCTGCACACTCTGGTCGCCACTACACACCGCAGGACGCACAAAATAGCCGAAAAACAGCGGAGCTCCTTCCAGTGGCGGCCGCCATATTCAGGCGCACGCGCAAAGATGTCCAGGGTCACCTTTCAACAGGACGGCACCCAAGCCCATCGAGCTAGAACGACGCAGGAGTGGTGTCGATCACACTTCCCGGCATTCTGGGAGAAGGACAAATGACCGGGGAATAGCCCTGACCTGTCGCCAATAGAAAAATTGTGGGTGATCGTCCGGGAAAAGGTGAACATATTGGCGCAAGAAATGTCCGAAGGCACGCTGCCCAGGAACATCCGATCTGCCTGGTCTGAGATCAGTCCACAAAACCTAGACAACTTGATGTCTGGCATGCCGAGCCGTATGTTTGCCTGTATTAGGGAGAAGTGGGGATACTTATGTAAATACTGCGTAACTCTCATGTTTGTTATTCTCATGCAATGGACGCTGGAAAGGTGTGACATTAATTTTGGGACACCCTGTACATAGATGCATACAAGTATCCGCTGGCGCCGTCCGGCCGACTGACCTGCTGACGGCTGCCACCTCTGACTGGGTCAGGGCAGGGATGTCCGTGAGGGGCCGGGTGTCTTCAAGCTCAAGTGTATCCAGCTGGGAGCAGCCGTGGAGGGCGGCGAGCACAGTTTCGGAAATGACGCCGGGTTCGCGAAGAGTGACGTCCTCCAAGCCGGAGAGGGCAGTCAGGAGGCGTCCCGTCGCTTCCGGTGTCACAGACGGCGGCTCTATAAAACATAAATACAGACACTTTAATACAAACTGGAATGACACAGATCACTAAATATTCATAGCAAGATATACTAAACAGTAGGATACCTTTATAGCCCGGCTGTTGCTGGGGTACTTCGACACCCACCACTTGCCCGGGGATGGGGGTGGGGGGTGGGGGCGTTTAACCCGCGCCCGGCTGGGGGTCCTGGATTTCCACGCCCTCTGCTGGGGGGGTGTTTGAACACTCCCCCCCCCTTGTAACTCGGCTCCTGGGCCACGTAGCGATACGCGGAAGGCGGCGTTCGAAAGAGCGTAAAAAATAATGACGAATCACTTCGGTCAATTTTTTGATCAGGTCAAAGGTCAGGTCACCAGAGGTCATTGAAGGCAAAATTTCGCCGACTTCCAGGTCGAATGTCGAAAATTTCCAAGAAGCCAACGCATAACTCGAGAACCAATAGAGCTAAAGCGCCGCAGAAAAGCGCAATCGATAGCCCTATTAAAGCCCTTTCTGAGTAATTCTCTCAGATTTGACCTAACGTCAACGGTTTTGCCTGCAGGGGGCAAAAACTGCAAAATAGCCGATTTTTTCGAAAACAGTTTTTCTGCAATAACTTTTGACCCAAGCCTTGTACGAGCTTACTTTTACCGGCATTGTGTTCCTCTCGTCAAGACGCATCGAATGAACTATAAGTTGACCTTGAAAGGTCAACTTGAAAATTTGACCTCAGGTCAAGGTCATGACCTGACCGGAAAGGGTCGTGTTGCATATCAGTCGATCCGTATCGTCGACCTGAACACATCTAAGGCGTTTTCATCGCTCTAGCATGCCTCTATCAAAAGTTATTTGCGAAAAATTGTTAGATACCATTCGTGACCTAAGATGACCTCAGGGCATAAACAAGGGTCACACGATAGGCGTTATCACAAGTGTATTCGCGGCCATTGGGGCGACGTAAGAAAAGAAGAAAACAACTGGCCCCAAGAACTTTAAATTATCAAATAGCATGCACCTTTTCCTTGATATGTAGAGAATTTACCATTAATTGTTAGAGAAAATTGCATTTAAAATCTTCCACTTATGTTTTTTTCATCGTTTGCACAGTATGTTCTTTTACTAAGCTAGAAACACTAATTAGAAATAGTTCCCGCATCATCAAGAACAATAGGGAAGGCTTGAAGTGAATACAATAATCTAAATGGTTTTGTAATCCATGTGAAGACACTTCTAAAATTGCCTGTAGAAATATTAAAGGCAAAAGTTCAACTTTTTCACAAGACGGATGGCTATAAACCTATTCAACGTGTGACAGCTCAGCCGGTATATCGTCGCCTACAGCCCAGCTTTCCCTAGTGACCGATAGAGGCGCTGCTATCGATGTCCGCCCGTGCCGCCTAACGAGACACCATTTTCATGTTCAGTGTGTCTAAACCACTTGCAATTCGGTGTTTGGGAGTGTTTATAATGTCTTTCGTCCAAAAGAGGCGCATTTCAATCTTCTCCCATTGACTTATAATGGGGAGGTCGCAAAATTGACCTGACCTTAGGTCATCGTTATCAAAATTCTGAGATATACATTTTGTACATGCTATTGCTCTTAGCAATCGCTGAAAGTTTCAAAGCGATCAGTCACTCGGTGTAGCTATGACAGACATTGAAACTTTTTATGAGGTGAGGTCACTTCAAGTGACCTGGTGACCTTACCTTGAATGACCTTCGTCTAATATTTTTACAACATGTGTAGAATTGATGTATGATAAGGTGTACGGGGGGGTGTTCAAACACCCCCCAGCAGGGCGCGGGTTAACGCCCCAAGCCGATAACTCGATAGCCAATAGGCTCAACGAAACGCACGACTGCGGCAAACGAACGCGACGAGACGGTTCCAATGAGTACTTGAAAGTTGAATTTCGAGATTAACCCTCGCCCTGGCAGGGGGGGGGGTCGATGCGACCCCCCCTAAGGTTTTCGAAGATAGCGTAAAAACGACGGCGCGCAGCGCCGCCAAATTTGGCACAGCCTATGGGGCAACCTTTTTACATATGACCTGAAAATTGCAGGTCGGGGTGACCTTGGGTCAGGTCACCAGGTCAGAAAAACCGGTACAAGGTCATGGTCAAATTTCAATTTTCTTTTTGCACCTGTCCAACTCACAGTTTTGGACTGATTTCCTTTAAACTTTCAGGGTGTGCTAAGTTCACCGAGTTGTATAACATATAGTTCGTTTTTTTAGGTCACTGACCTGAGGTCAGTTAGAGGTCATTACGTCGTAATGTTAAGCCTATGGGAAAATACTAAATTCGGAAAATACTGGAGATATCCGCTTCGTTCTATCACTTTTGTGCTTTGAAACCACAGTACTTAGCAGCAGGTCACTTGGTGCTTCTTTGTTTGGTGTACTTATCCATGGGTCAGGACAAATGAGGTCAACTGAGGTCAATTCGATTCATTGTATTCACGTTAAATCCGCTATTGCGGCTTTTCATCAACGTAACGTCAAACGTTAAAAAGAGTTGACATAGCAAAACAGATACACACAATTCAAGCACAAGCACACACATGCATACAAGTCAATCAATCATTCAGTTTGAATCACGCCCCAGCAAGTAGCGTTTCACGGCGGTTTTGAATGCTGGACGACCATTGTAACGGTGCATGAATTCGTTGTACTCCGAGACACCGCTATACAAAAGTTGCCGCCTGCCTGCCTCTGTTCGAATTCGTGGCAGCCTGAACCGGTTCGCATTTCGCGTGTTGTGACCCTGGTCGGACGCTCTGTCCAACTTGCTTGCCATCGCAGTCGGCTGTTGTGTCTCCACAATGCGGTGTACAGAGCACATTCGATGATACAGGGCCATGTCTGGTGCAGTGAGCCACTGCAGATCGCGTAACACATCCGACACTCTGTCATATTTCCTCCGCCCGCTCACAACTCGCGCGCAAAAATTCAGTATTTTCTGAACGCGGTGCAACTCCGTAGCACCACAGGTACCGTAAACAGCGATGCAGTAGCGGAGTCGGGAAACAACGAGCGAGGTGACAATGGGCACGATTACATGGGGCGGCAGAACGTGTTTTGCGTGGTTTAAAGCTAATAATGTCCCGGTGGATCTAGAGACGAGGCGACTGACGTGGTCGTGAAATGATAGGTGCTTATCCATGACAATGCCCAGGTTAGTAACCGAGTCGGACTCACGGATGGTCGTGCCGGCGAAATTCACACTGATAGTTGGCATGCCTTTCAGCATCTGACGCGTTCCCAAGACGATGAGCTGACTTTTTGCTGCGTTGACCTTCATGTCGTGGGCGCAAAACCATGCGTATAGGGTAGACAAAGCCTGTTCAGCAGTGCATATTAGTTGTTCAAGGTCTGCACGTTTTCCCGTGCGAGAAGCTGCGTGTCGTCGGCAAATTGCACAATGTTGACACCTGGTACATGCAGACACATATCATTCACGAAGATCGAGTACAGGAGACAGCTCAGTGAACCGCCCTGAAAAACGCCAGTCGTTATGGGGAGGGATTTTGACATAACTGAGGAACCCTCGGCATTGCGGATCATCACTTGTTGTGTATGACCGCTCAGATAATTTCTAAACCAAGTGGTGTCCATGTTATACAGGCTCAACTTCTCTAAAATTTTCTCGTGATTGATGACATCAAAGCATTTTGATAGGTCAAGCAAAATCAGGATAGATATTTCGCCTTGGTCCATCGCCTTGAAAATCCTGTCAGTAATCACAGCTAACGCTGTCTCGGTGGACCTGTTGCGACGATAACCGTGCTGAGCATCGGTAAACAGTTGATGCTCATTGAAAAATTCCGTGACTTGTGATTGTACGATACGCTCTACGATTTTCATGACCCCTGGTAGTAAAGATATTGGTCGAGTGTTGCGTGGATCAGAGCTATCGGAACCCTTTGGTATGGGAACCACCAGCGCGTGTTTCCACGCACTGGGTACGATTCCAGTTTCAAGACAGCTATTGATAATGTCGAGGAGAATATAGCCTACACCATCGAAAAAGCGTCTTAACATGTCGACACTAATGCCATCTAGACCAAGAAATGAAGACGGTTTCATGTTATGAATAATGCGACGTTTGACGTTTCAAATGACGTTTTTGCCAATAACTTGGCACATAATGACGCTAGAGCTTAAAAAATGGTATCATTGTGTTCCTGGTGATCAGCCCAATCGAATGATATGATAAGATGCAATTTGGTTAACTTTAAATTAATTAATTAATTAAAGTTTACTTAAATTTTAAGAAAAACTTTAAGTACACTTAAGCAGGCTAAAAAGTATATCATTCGACGCGCCTTGACGTGCTGAGTTCACTGGTGCTTTTCGTTTTGCTCTATCTTAATTAGATCAAAGGTTATAAGCGAAAAACTTTTGACCTGTTTTTAGTGAAATTTTTACATTTATACCCCCCAAAACCCCCCCTAAATATTGACCTAGAGCAACCAAATTTGCACAGGGGCGAGAACTCCAGGGAGCCCACCTACCTACCAAATTTGGTGTTTCTAGGTGCCATAGGAGCCAATCGCGAGGGGGGGTGGCATCGACCCCCCTGCCAGGCCGTGTTATGAAAAATGCCCTGCCAGGGCGAGGGTTAAAGGTCAGGTCGGGTAAAGGTCAAACCAGCGTTGAAATTGTGGGCTCTCCTTTCTGGTCCCGGCGTTTTATTCTCCGGGTGGGATAGCCCCGTCCGGCGATAAACCATTCGGGACCCACTCGGGGCTGCGGTAGTTTTTGCTGCTCCGGTCTCAGTCGGGATGCAAAGTTAACCCGCGCATGACTGGGGTATTTTCCATAACGCGAGTGACTGGGGGGGGGGTTCTCCAAAGCCCCCCCCCCCTCCTATGTCCGAAACTACTGGGCCGATCGTGAAAATTCAAACGGCGTCTGATAGCCCTGGAAAAACTGTCGAACGAAACCTATTTTCATTGACCTCGAGGTCACCGATGACGTCACAGGTCAGGTCAAAGTAAAAATTATCGACATTT